CTTCCCTTCCTTTGATCACTTTGGGCTGTGTTCGGTATAAGCTATTTCGTCTTTTGTTAGGGAGGGAAAGTTGTTTGTGACATTGGTTATCTTCTAGATGTGTGTGTGTGTGTGTCTGTCTGTATGTATGTATATTTATTATATACACATACATTCATCTGTCTGCCTGTCTGTCTGTCTGTCTGTCTGTCTGTCTGTCTCTCTCTGTCTCTCTCTCTCTCTCTCTCTCTCTCTCTCTCTCTCTCTCTCTCTCTCTCTCTCTGTCTCTGTCTCTCTCTCTGTCTGTCTGTCTCTCTCTCTCTCTCTCTCTCTCTCTCTCTCTCTCTCTCTCTCTCTCTCTCTCTCTATATATATATATATATATATATATATATATATATATATGTATATATCTATATTTATACACACACACACACACACACACACACAAATATATATATATTTACTTATATGTATATATATGTATGTATGTATTTATTTATCTCTTGTTGCTTTTGATTGAAAGAAATCAGTGTTGTAGCAACTGATATAATGATTCGGTTAATTACTGCTGTCCAGTGAATCACAGAGTAACAAGTTTTGAATTGTGTTCGATCTGAATGTCATTGGTGGTGCTACGTAAGTCAGTTTAGAATTCATATTAAAAAGCATTTCATTTTCTTTAATCATGCAGCACACACACACACACACACACACACACACACACACACACACACACACACACACACACACACACACACACACACACACACACACACACACACACACACAAAACACACACACATAGAACACACAAAACACACACACACATACAAGTAAGGAAACAAACACACGCAATAGTATGATTTCTAACTTAATTTACGGTTGTAGTCTGACACTGTATTCCTTCGTTTCCTCAAGCCTCTCGGGTTCGGCGCTCGGGTAAAGGAAATTAGATTTTGTATCTCTCGCGCAGACAGAAAGAAAAGAAAAGAAAAGGAATGAAAAGAAAAGACAGAGAAGAAAGGAAATCTTGGCATTTTTTTCTAATAAGTAGAAAAAAAATGCAAATGAGATAGAGGAAGGAATGCAGTAAACGATTACGATGATGATATAGGAAATCAATGACATAAATCGAACAAGACTGTCAAGAAAAAAAGGTACGGCCGAAAATAAATCCACACGGCGAAACAACAATAAAACAACAAAAAAGAAACACATCAAAAGTTACAAACACAACCAAAAAAAACAAAAAAGCTATTAAATCTAATTACAGTCCAATTACAAACACCATAAAAATCTACCAATCTAATGAACAAAACTTAACCATCAAGGACGTTAAATAACCGCTATTTCTCATCCGCTTCAGGTCCCGTGCGCACAGCTGGACGAGGAACTAACTCTCCCTTGCATGTGTTCACGAGTTGACAAGGAGATCTTTATCGACTGTGACAATGTGGCGTTCCCGGGGGACTTCCCTCTGCTTCCCCACATGTAAGTAGGAATTAAGTGTGTGTGTGTGTGGGGGGGGTGAGGGGGTGAGGGGGAGGGGTGAGGGAGGGAGGGGAGGGGTGAGGGTGTGTGTTTGTGTGGGTGTGTGTGAGGGGGGGGTGAGAGAGGGAGGGGAGGGGTGAGTGTGTGTGGGTGTGTGGGTGTGTGTGAAGGGGGGGGGTGAGGGAGGGTGAGGGGGGGATGAAGGTATGTGTGCGAGGGTATATATATATATGGGTATATGGTTATTTTGTTCCTGTTTGTTGTGCGTATGCATGCATATACAAAATATATATCCACGTATAATAAATGTATCTTAACGTAAACAAAACAAAACAAAAAAATGAAAACATACCCCCCCCCCCCCAAAAAAAAAAAAAAAAAAAAAAAAGAGTAAGAAAAAAATCATCTTCATTGCCGCCACGCGATCTTTGACCTTTGACCTCGCCTCCTACAGGATGGAAATCGTAGAATTTACGCAGAGGAACGCGGGAATCCAGACGCTTAGGGGTCAGCTGTTCACCGCCTCAGACCTGCCGTTGAGGAAGGTAAGTTGAGAAAAGAAGTATAGTCATATTATATCTATATGATTACGTATATTTTCTCTAATAAGTTGTATTATTTATGTAAATTACGTATGTTTTATCCAACAATTATGTACGGCTAGAAAGTGTGTTTCGTAAATTGCCATGAAATGTGTTAACATAAATATTTTGATTCGTATGTCACAGTAATTTGCATATATTTCTCAAAAAAGGTACATTTCTGTTACGTATATGTTATATAGGCCTTTTTTTTATTAACTTTTACATATCATTTACATACATTTACATTTACGTATCATATTATATAAGTCGAACAATTCCATATATTCATAATATTGTCATTATACAATAATAGTAAGCACTGCCGTAACATGCGTTATTTAGCCCTTTTAATTCATAATTAGGAAAAGGTTTGCAAACATTCTTGTGACTTTTTGCATTAATATTCAGCACTGAAACTCACTGAATTCAAATGCATTTTAATTTCCATCTCTCATTTTTTTATAATGTTACAGCCTTGTAATTATATAGTTCTTTAGTTACAAATACTGGTTTATTATTATTATTATTATTATTGTTGTTATTATCATTATTTTACAATTTTATTATTTATTTCTCTACCAGACGACGTACCTCGGTTCACGTATTGTCATAGGTTTGAAAAAAATCTTATTATCTTGCCATCGGTCTTTGATATGCTAATAGATTAATTATATGAATAAAACATCTAATATCCACGCCTCGTCTCACACGACAGGAAGAACATAATTACCTAATTATTACCCTTTCTCTTTTTCGTTTTTTTTTTTTTATTACGCTTTTAGGCACTTCGTCCATTTCCCGTAAGAAGAGATCCTAAAGACGCCAAGAATTTAATTTTCTCACTTCTGCCCCTTTTTCGCCCTCAAGGTCGACTTCTCGCGTAATGACATCCGTCGCCTCAACAAGGGCGCCTTTGAAGGTCTCGAGGACAACCTGCTGGAACTCCGCCTCGACCACAACCTCCTCGGGAACAGCTACAACCCGATCTTCGCCTCGCAAGAAATCACCAAGCTGACGGCTCTGCAGGTGAGGTGGCGCTCCGTGATTGGTCGATTGCAGTTTCAGGTTCGACGCTGATTGGTCAGCCGATGCGGAAGGAGCGTACGTGATTGGTTCGTTTTCGAGGGGAAAAGAGATAAAGGAGACCTTGCGATTGGTTAGTTGTCGTAAAGAAGAAGAAGAAAAAGATATCGAAATTTTATGATTCAGTATACTAAAAAGAAAAGAAAGAAAGAATGTAACTTACATAATGTACAGAAATGGTCTTGCAGTACCCGGTCACATCAGTAGTTTGTTTACTATCAATGTAAGAGTAACAATTTGGCCGAATGACTGGCGCGTTTGGATGAACTGGATGTACTTCCTTATATGAACCTGGCGATGACTCTTACCTCTGTTATTAACCGTAATTACTAATAACCTTATTCGATTATTCTCTATGGCCCATCAAGCCCAAGGTCATATGTGTTTTCTGTCGTAATGAGGTTAATAATGGAATATTGGCAATAGAGGCAATGGTAATGTGACGATATTATTATTAGCATCAGCTGTGGTTACTTCCTCATTCTCTATATTTTGTCGTTTTCTCTCTTTCTTGTTCTTTACTCATTTCTTTTACTCTTGTGTTTCATCCTCCTTCTCTTGTTTCACACCTTTCTTCTTCATCTTTTTTCTTTTTTCTTTCACACCTTTCTTCTTTCTTTCGCCTCTTTTCCTCTTCCTTTACTGCTTTTTTGTTTCTTTCTTCTCTTTCCTTTTCTTCACTGTTACTTCATTTGTGGTTATTTGTGTCCTTTCCTCTCCCTTATTCTTTCCTTATATTTTCTCTTATTTATCTAATTATCTCTCCCTTTTACCGTCTGCTCTTTCCGTCTCTCACCTCCTCCATTTACTAACTCTTCTTCCTTATTACATTTAATTTTCCTTGTTTTCCTCTTACTGTTTCTCCTCTTGGTTTTCCTCTTCTTCCAGCTGTTATTTACATGACCTTTTTATGTATTTTCAAAGTCACTGTTTGTAGCACGGGAATAAGTAAACAGAGAAATAGAGCGCCAGACGAGCAGCTGGACATGCATATAGACTGACACACAGACTGAGAGAAAGACAAACACGTACGCGCACCCACCCAATCCACCCACTCAACCGCCTACCCACCCAAAAGCTATAGACCAACAACCACTCACCCCACCTACCCACCCACCCATAAACTAAAACCCCACCCACTTCACCCAAAAGCTAAAACCCACCGCCCACCCACCCACCCAAACGCTAAAGCCCACCGCCCACCCACTTCACCCAAAAGCTAAAACCCACCGCCCACCCACCCACCCAAAAGCTAAAACCCACCGCCCACCCACTTCACCCAAAAGCTAAAACCCACCGCCCACCCACCCACCCAAAAGCTAAAATCCACCGCCCACCTACCCACCCAAACGCTAAAGCCCACCGCCCACCCACCCACCCAAAAGCTAAAACCCACCGCCCGCCCACCCAAAAGCTAAAACCCACTGCCCACCCACCCAAAAGCTTAAACCAACCGCCCACCCACCCACCCAAAAGCTTAAACCAACCGCCCACCCACCCACCCAAACGCTAAAGCCCACCGCCCACCCACCTCACCCAAAAGCTAAAACCCACCGCCCACCCAACCCTAACCCCACCCACCCAAAAACTAAAACCCACCCTAACCCACACACTCATCCCACCCCAACCCACCTACCCAACCCACGCCAATCCCACCCACCGCCCAAACCCTAACCTCCGCCCCTCTCGCCCTCAGACGCTGAACCTCGGCTACAACCACATCAAGGAGCTGGACACGGGCCTCCTCACCGCCCTCAAGGATCTGCAGGTCCTTCAAGTCGAGGGCAACAGCTTCTTCTCTGTCCCCTCGGCCGCACTCAAGGGCCTCGACAACCTGAAGGTGCTCACCATCGAGGAAAA